TTTCTATTTGATTTAATTTTTTAAAACATTTTTATTAATTTTGGTTTTATTTTCACTTAATTTTCTTTAATTTATTATTTTGATATTTGATTTAAATATATATATATATATATATATTTTTTTTTAATTTTTAAAAACCTTAGTGCTAACAGACGATCTGCATAACGCTAGTATCTCCAGTGGCGGATTTATCGTACAGGCAACATAGGCTGAAGCCTAGGGCGGCAGAATTAAGGGGCGGCAAAATTTAAGACAGCTAAATTAAAAGAAAAAAATTTATTTGGATTCAGCTGCACTTGAAATTGTGTTTGTGTCTGTAAAATATTATTAATGATTCATCTCATTCAATACAATTCAAAATTAGAATTACGCTGCGAATTTTTCCTTAGTATAGCAGTCGTTGAAATTTCCATTTAACTTTCATTCACGCGGCTTGGAAACCTGACGGCGCGCCTGCGCGTGACGCAAAGAAACAGCCGACACGCTGCCCCGAGAACGAGAATCATCTAAAAGGTTACCACACTTGACAACACTGCCGAAAAACGAGCGTGCATTTTCGAGAAAATTCTTGATTCCAAGCCCACCAGTTTTTCATAAGTGTATCATAACGTGAATAATCTGAAGGTCAGCTTCCGTGAAAGAGGGTTTTTGTTGAATACCTTATCCATGCTGATGTCGAATTTGTTAATTCCGTTATGTATTTCATTATTAACGAACTATATTGTAATAAAGCACTGACAATAACAATCATATTTGATATATATATATATTTTTTTTTTTCGTGAAAAAAGGGCGGCAAGTTATGAATTGCCTAGGGGCGGCAAATATTTAAATCCGCCACTGAGTATCTCGATAGCAGAACTTCCAATTAGTCTTTCGAAAGACAGTAAATAAAGCTTTTTATATAGTTGCCACAATTAATAATTGTCTTACGAAGGGCTTTTGAGTTGGGACCCAGTTGCCAGAATTGCCCAGTTATTCTCTTTTACTACAGTGCTGCTTCCATAAATGGAATAACTCTTAGTTTGTAATAAAATAGGCCACTTAAGAAGACTTTATTATAGCTATTTGCCAATAGGACAAACAAAAATTCCCTTGTAACTTACTATACTTATGTTTGTTTGAGCTGGTGAATGAGGTTTTCTCTCTTAACTTCTTAAATGAATTTCTTTGTTGGATTGATAGTTTCTTAACCAACTTTTATACCTCAAAAATCAGGAAAATTATAAAAAAAAATATGGGAGAAAGAAGCCCCATACATAGTCAACACCAACGTCGCGCTAAAAATTTGACATTTTCGTTGATTACGTATACGACACGGTGTCCAACCAAAGTAGCCACTGCCAACCTAAATTCATCGAACAAGCGAACACAATTAGCGAATTAACACCCATATTTAAATACATATTTCACGCAACACAGCTTTCATACCTCCATATATACATAGTATATGTAAGTATAACTGCTTGCAATTATGTACGTATGTAAATATATGTGCACATTCGCATGCATGCCACTTGTACACTTACGCGTTCATGACATGTGTCAACATGACATTTTAACCCGCCGAAAATGTCAATTGCCGCAACCAAGCGCCAAACACTTCTGCTGCTGCTGCCAGCGCCGTGATTAAATGAGTTTGGATTACAATACGCATTGCGTTCCTGTACACTTCGCTTGCAAGTAATAACAAATGCACCAAACCAGCATTGGCGAGCAGAGCCATCAGCAATAGTGAGAGTAAGAGCTAATATTGAAGTCAATTGCCACGTTCGCTGGCCGATGAATTTTGCAATGGAGCTTTCAATAGATATTTTTGGTATGCATTGAGGAGATAACAAAACAAAAAAAATAGCAAACGAATATGCAGCAACTAAGGACTGCATTCATTATAAACACAATACAAAGATTTTTGCTATATTGCACGTATGCTGGTATGTATTGGGAAATGCGGGTAGGTATATATATATATACATATATATGTACATTAGACTGCATCGCTTCCAAACAAAGCAAACAAACAAAAATCTGTACTGCGTTTCCATTGGAATTATAAAATCTATTATATTTTACGACGTCCACCCAAATACATCGGAAAAGTATTAAGATTTACGTGAGCTGGACCGATTTGATAATATCTCCAAAAATGGAGTCTTTTATGAATAAAAATACATAGTTTCTTAAAGAATTTTGGTGGACGTCTTCAAATATAAAAAAATTTTGTAATCCCGCCGGAAAAAGCGGGACTTTTTTTGGTGATGCAGTGTAATGTAAATTAAGGCGTATTACAAAAAAAAGGTTAAAAACTTATGTGGAGAGAAAATTTTGGGTTTAAATAAATTTTTTTAGGCACCCGCTAAAAACCGCTAATTCGCGTTTTTTGCTATAACTTTCTTATTTACTATCCGATTTTTTAAATTTTTACGTCCCCGAAAAGGCCTCCCTCAGGACTATAAATAAGTAAAGCCTTCTGAAGACTTCTGGCGGGAAATAGTCTTATTCGATCAAAAACATTTATTTTTAACGACTGCATAGCAATTCTACGAAAAAAATGTATTTTCCCCATGTAAATAAACCTGGTAAACTGCAAAGCACCGACGGCGCGGGTAAATATTAACTGATTTCAAAAAAAAAAAAAAATAAATATTTTTGATGCTCTTCAGTTCTGGGGGGTGACAGTAGAAAAATCAAGAAATGTTGATTTTCCTATGTATTTTTGGGTCACCCTAATGTACATATGTAAATGCTTACATCCATACACACCTGCATACATACTCTAATATGCATACAATCCACATATCTCTTGCCGAGAAAACCACTTCCGCGGACAGCTTTAATGACAACCTAATTATGCGTACAAATGACTCATAAATATTTTATGCGTCAAAGTGTCATCGCAAAGAATATGGGTTCTGAAAATTCTGTTGCTGTATGTATGTATGCTCACAAGTTTTTATTAGCAAATATGCACATAAATATGTTGCTTATCTCCAATGCATCCATATCTCACGACCGTCAAGGCCAGACAATGGATACGTGGATAAAACTCTTTACAGAAAATGCAATTTTTCAAATTGGCAGTGGTAACGCTTTATTTCAATGCAATTCAGAGAACTGTCTTTCAACTCACCAGAGTCTTTCGAAAGACAAAAGTCTTTCTTAAGACAGTGATACATACTGGCAACTATCTTAAAGGCTCTTTACGGTCTTTCGAAACACTTATTGAAACATCTGTCTTAGCGTTATTCTGTTTGTTTTTTAACAATTAGTTTTTCTAAATTAAATATATTTAAAAAATTTATAAATTGTTCCTTACAAACAATAATAACTTAAAATTCAAGATTAAAATAAAATTTAATCAAATCCAAAAATATAATACAAAAAATATGAATCTGTATCTGTTTATACTGCGACCTTTTTGATTTTAATCAAATAATCCTTTTTAATTCCGGCTTGAGGTCAGGATGTTAAACTGCACGACAAACGAGAAGGACGTCGTGGAGCTAAAATTTAATTAATGTTTCCCCTGAAGACGATCTCCGGAGGATATTGAAATATATTGGGAAATAATGTATTTGAATGTCCATTAACAAAAAAAAATATTTATAAAATAAAATATTTAAAAAAATATATATTACAT